CAGATACAGTTGTTTCAGTTCTGAAGATGAAGAGAGGAGGAGGAGGAGGAGGAGGAGGACCAGTGTGTGTGTGTGTGTGTGTGTCACGGTGACCTCGGTCCAGTTCTGACCGTGGTCTCCTTTGGTTCCAGGTCCAGTTGATCCACTACAACCATGAACTGTACAGCAACTACACGGAGGCTGCCAGGAGTCCCAACGGTCTGGTCATCATCTCCATCTTCATGAAGGTGAGAGGAAGAGGAGGAGGAGGAGGAGGAGGAGGAGCAGTGTGTTTGGTAGAGAACCTCATGTTGAGCCACACTTGTTCTGTGGTGAGACACCTGAATCCAGTCTGATGTTTGTCTGGTCTGGGTCTCCTCCAAGGCTTCGTTTCAGGTTGGTGTGACCCAGTGCATGATGGGAAATCTGGTGGAGAAGAGAATTAATTCTAAAACAAGAAGAAAAGAGGAGACATCTTGACCAAGGTCAAAGGTCAAAGTTCAGGGTTTTAACTAGTGATATTAGCAACAGGTGGACCTGTCCCTCTGCCAGGACTGGGTCAGCAGACTGTGTTTGTCCTCAGCTGAATCTTTTGTCTGTCCTCAGATTTCAGAGACGTCCAACTCCTTCTTGAACAGGATGCTGAACAGAGACACCATCACCAGAATAACCTACAAGAGTGAGTTCTACACACACACACACACATTTTTAGCTTTTGTCTTCTTGACTCTTTCGTTAGCGTTTAGCCTTTTTATCTGACGCTGGCTAACCGCTAACCTGTAGTGCTAAGCTAACAGAAGGCTCGTGTTCATTTGAACTGATTTTTGCATGAAACCTTTTTTTTTTCCTTCCTCCTTTGCTCACTCTGAGCTGATTCTGACGTTGGATCACTTTTCTTTTTGTCGTTGTTTTAGTTCAGTTCTTGTTTGTATTTTTTTTTATTATTTATTTTTAATGAATAATAATGACCAACGTTTATGGAGCTTTCCTGAGATCACAGTTGATCTTCTTGGTCCAGAACGACCGACCGCTCAACTGTCCACGTCTCGTGGTCCCACGTTCCACCGCAACA